AGTGAGGTTGCAGCAATATCTTGATGAAAATAAAAATAAATCTGTTTCCATGAATTTAAAATTTTTTTTAAATAACTTTATTTGAATAAGAAAAAATCAAAAAAAATAAATTAAATTTTTTTAATAAAAAAAAAAAACAAAAAATAAGTTCTAAGAATAAATAAATAAATTTCGAGATGAGCCTTAATTTGAAGGGCCAGCAACTCCATATTCTTGATCATCTAAAATTAAGAATAAAAATAAAAATAATTAAATTATGCAAACACAGTCACGTAATGATTTATGTTAATTACCACGTGATTTATTTGGATTATCGGCCCCAGTACTTTTAAGATACTCTTGTTGCATTTCTATAATTGCATCATTCATTAAGTTTTATGAATAAATATTATTAGACAAATAAAAATAATTTTACCTTCGGTAATTTCAAATTCCAATTGTTTAGAATCAAATGCTAAATATGTAAATTGTATATAATATTATTTTAATATGGATTAAATAATAATTTCATTCGAACAAAAAATTTCGAGTTAAATTACCTTGTTGTTCTTCTATAAAAATGAATGATGATTTAAAATAAATAAATATTAATAAAATAATAAAAAATAAAACCAATCCAATAAATCCAATAAGAAAAGGAGATATATAAAATATAATTACCATCAGTAGCATTTCTTGGTTTAATTGAGATGTTGAATGTATACACTTTACTATTTTGTATTCTATTTATTTTGCTTTTTGTATTTTTGCTTAATTGTGTATTTGTAATTACTTGATTATTTTTATCTTTTTTGGATTTTAATTTACAGAAATTTTTGATTCTTGATTTTAAATTTTTAGATTGAATATTTTCATGTTGTTTATCCATTTCATCATATAATGAATTTATTAATGATTTCATTTTTACCCGAATTGTATATGTATCAGGTCTATTATCAGGATGAGCATCCCAACATTGTTTCATTAAAGTCACATATTCATGTGGAATATATTCATAAATCTTTGGTCGACATCCTTTGACTATATCAAGAGTTAATTCCAAATCATGTTCATAATCATCAAATGGAGTTTCACCAGTTATTACTTCCCACATTAATATGCCCATACTATATATATCTGATTTTGTTGTATAAATTTTACCACAGATAACTTCGGGAGCAATGTATGGGAGATTCCCATAAACACTATTTGATGGTTTGTCGACTGGCCCACTCAATCCTAAATCACTAATTCTCCAAACAAAAGAGATTGCATTATATAAGATATTTCCTGAGTGCAGATCTCTATGTACTATATTTTGTTCATGAATTTCATATAAATTATATGTTATATCGTAAATAATATTACATTTTTGTAATAATGTAAGTGATTGATAATTATCCTTTAAAAAATCTCTTAAATCATTTTCATAATAATTTAAAACTAACATATAATCTTGGTTGATTGGATCTTTAGTTATTCCGTAACATTTAACAAGAAAGTCAGAAGTTTTATCGAGTGTGAAACTTAATGTCACCTAATAATTTTTGTAATTATGTAATTAATATTTCTGAAATATCAAACAGAATATAATAAATGCAATAATAATTTAACTTACTTCTTGAAACCAGTACACATTATTATTATTTGAGTTATTTAATCGTTTCAAAACAATCTTTTGTCCTCCAAATCTTTCCAATATTTGTCTTTCAGAATTCCATTTAGAATAGCATCCATCTTTCCAAAATGCTGTATAAATGGTAGCACATCCTCCTTCTGTCAGATGTTCGACATCCTCAAATTGATCATGTTCAATCCATTCAATTACTTTATAAGGTACTACAGTTTTTTGTTGAGATTCTTTAATTAATTTATCAATTTCAATATTTCCAGATGTCCAATTTCCAAATTTATTTTCTAAATATTTACGAATACAAAATTCGCAGTATTGGGTTGCTTGATG